AAAACGAGACGCACACCGGACACGTCAGAAGACTTGTTAATCAACATAGAACTGGTACTATTAGCCATCGGACGTTGGGGTTCATACTGAGGGGAGGATCTGAGCACCTATGGACATGTCCGGAGTGCAATGACGATAACCCAACTAACTAATGTAAAAGGTTTATGAATTTTTAAAAAAAAATGGATCAAGATTTGACATCACCCCACTCAAAACATTTCCATACATGCTTGTCTCCTTCTGCAGTAGCCAACGACCCCGTGTGGGGTCCGGGGCCGTATTATAGGAAAAACGAGAATAGACCCACTGCCTATCCAAAGGCATGTAGTAAGAGTCGACTAATTGGGAGCTTCCTTTGAAGTTGGAGTGCATCTGCCTGAGAGGCAAGGAACCAACAGTCTGCACACAAATGAGTCAGATCTGTCAAACAGATGCACACACTACTCATGTTCTGAAACAGGGCTGCAGTCCAGAAGTGGACGAACAACCAGAACTCTCCACCAGAGTTTACAGCCGGTGAACAAGAAGAAGAAGAAGCCAACAACAAGTTGACATGCTTATAGTACCAGTTGCAACCTGATTAAAAGTCTGCCTATGTTTAACTCTCAGTGTTGAATATTTCTAGAACCTCTACCATCCTTTGTTAAATTAGTCTTTCAATGTATGAATTCTCTGTCTATTCTGTTGCACTGTTCATCTGATTTCAGACAGCCTTCACCATGTCCACTTTATCATAAAGTAGCCCACGACCCAGAGGGGCGGCAGCAGCAAATTTTCAGCCTGCTTATTACCCTGAACACCTGGTTTATTTTGGAAACTACAGATGTTCCTCAGTTATATTAAAATTAAATACCTAATGTTCTTTTACTCTGTGTGACTATTTTCCTGTCTTTTTCTTCTGCGTTCACCCTTAAAAATGTGGCTGGTTTGTTTACAGCTAGACTGTGATATCTGTGGCTTTCAGCTCAACAGATTTACTTTCAGTAAATCTTTAGTCATTTTTTACATTGAATATGGCACTATATCAGAAAATTACTTCCCTTGAAATGTGCTGTCTTTGCAAAGTCACTGACATCACAAGAAGGGGCAGAGTTAGATACAAACCAGCATTATAACATTTGAATTATGTAGACAAAGAATGAAATGGTTCAGTCATCTAGTGAGAATGCAGCCAGGCTAAAATGCATGAGATTTTTTTTTAAAGTAGATTATCTGAGAGGAAGATGAGAAGTCTGAAAATGAGAGGATAAATAGTTTAGCTGAAACTTGCAAAGAAGAAAAAAAAAACCAGATGAATAAATCCACCCAAGAAGTGCAAGACATATACAGAAAACCATTTCAATGGGCAACAACCTTGTATCAGTGAAATGAAAAGAAAGAAGTGCCCTTTTACTACGTGCTTGTCAAGAAGCATGAAGAACCTATGGCACAGCACCTGCACCCCAAAAAAATATACGGCTGTTTACTGCCTTTATTATATGACTTTTGCGGTGTAAGCAGGAGGGGTCTTTGAACTTGAGGATTTATGGCCACATGGCTAGTGCTGTCGCCATGACTGTGCAGGTGAGGATTTTATTTTAACCCCAAAAGAAAAAATCCCCAGCCTTACCGAGAATTCAAACCCAGGTCTCCCGCTTAAGAGCCCAGCATTCCAACCGCTCGGCCAGCGGCTCCTCGCAGGACCTACAAGAGAGTTAAGTAATAATCGTGAGATCATGCATCTTCCCCATGGCAACTTATGGTTGTGAGTCATGGACTCTTATTCAATCTTTAAAGAAGAAAATCAGCTTTTGAACTGAAATGCTACAGAAACATCCTGCATGATTTGAACAGTGAGGAGAACTGGCTCATAAACAGCATCATCTCTTGAAAGCTGAGGTATTTCGGCCACATTAAACGTCACAGTAGCCTGCAGAGAATGATGATGCGGGGTGCAGTTTTGAGACTTTCAGGCATGCAGTGAAGAGAATGCTATTCTGTAAAAGATCTACTGTCTGATGATGTCAGCGAGAAGTAAACATCGTAGAGTAGAGCTATTCAACTGAGTTTATTCAGGGGCCAACATTTTCCAAATGGGTATTGTCAAGGGCCAGAGAGCCGGGCGCCAAAATAGAAAGACCATTAGAACAATACAGCTGGCAGTGATCTGCGGGCCTCTTTCCAGGCCTTCATGTGCCAGATTTGGCCCATGGGCCACCATTTGAATAACCCTGTCTTGTCTTCTCTAAACAAAGCAAGCAGCAGGGTTTACAGTGTCAGTATTTGGAACTCCCTATCTTAAGGGAAGCTCATTATTGTAGAACTGTGTCTTGATGTAGTTGGCACCTTTCCGTCTTTGGCTTGCTTGGCAACAACAAAATCGTCATGTTCAACCAGCATCCCCAAAAGTGGGGGCTTTAGATTATAATTGTGACTAGGTTATGTGCGCCATATTGCTTGCCATCCGGTAGCCTAAAAATGCAATCTAAGGAGACAGACCCAAATACTGTCCCGACAGGCAACACAGTATCTTGATGTAGCACAGTATCAAGACATGAATGGACCCATTTCCTCAACACAGAATGTCTTGATGCAGCACAGTATCAAGAAATGAATGGACCCATTTCTTCAACACAGAATGTCTTGATGCAACACAGTATCAAGACATGAATGGACCCATTTCCTCAACACAGAATGTCTTGATGCAGCACAGTATCAAGAAATGAATGGACCCATTTCTTCAACACAGAATGTCTTGATGTAGCACAGTATCAAGACATGAATGGACCCATTTTCTCAACACAGAATGTCTTGATGCAGCACAGTATCAAGAAATAAATGGACCCATTTCTTCAACACAGAATGTCTTGATGCAACACAGTATCAAGACATGAATGAACCCATTTCCTCAACACAGAATGTCTTGATGCAGCACAGTATCAAGACATGAATGGACCCATTTCCTCAACACAGAATGTCTTGAAGCAGTACAGTATCAAGACATGAATGGACCCATTTCCTCAACACAGAATGTCTTGAAGCAGCACAGTATCAAGACATGAATGGACCCATTTCCTCAACACAGAATGTCTTGATGCAGTACAGTATCAAGACATGAATGGACCCATTTCCTCAACACAGAATGTCTTGATGCAGTACAGTATCAAGACATGAATGGACCCATTTCCTTAACACAGAATGTCTTGAAGCAGCACAGTGTCTTGATGCAGCACAGTATCAAGACATGAATGGACCTATTTTCTCAAAACAGAATGTCTTGAAGCAGCAGAATAAATAAGACTGGCTAGGTTTACAACTACGCAACTGCAACGCTGCTTACAGATTGTTCGTGTTTCATTTTATACGAACTTTAACATTATGCCCAGGGCAAAGACTTGAAGAGTAAATCTTTTCTGAAATTTCAGAAGTCTACCAACAAATTAAACATTCTTAAGCTTCAGGGTAACTAGATTTTTCGCAACTCTGGAAGTCCTTTGTCTGGGTTCACTCTTGAACAATAAATCGTGGTTTACAGCTAGGCCATGACATCTGTTCCTTTCAACTCAACACAAATGATTTCAGCAAAACCCTTACTTGTCAAATTTAATTGTATGCTTGTTCATTGTTCTCTGTTCATTTTTGACATTGCACACCGAACATGACCATAAGTGCTCCGATCACCTCCTGAGTATGGTCACAAGTGCTTTTAGGCTAACAACTCATATTCTGTTCTGGTTGATGAAACGATGGATGGCTCCCACATGGTTTTCCTGTCCTGCTACTCCAACTGGTATACATAGGGTCTCTCCTGAAGACCCATATGCAAAGTACCATGGTTCAATGTCTATCGTTAATTTATTTTTTAAAAGGACCAAAAACATGGTTTCTGAAAGTTCTTTGATCACCACTTAGGATAGCAATCAGTGCACTGTAGCCATCCTTCATTGTGGAGATGGTACACTTGTTTGAATCTAGACACAAGAGAAATAATTTTCAACAAGACTTAAACATCTTAACTCGAAATTAAACAATCAGAAAGACAAAAGTACTTTAAAGTGGTTACATTTTTATTTTCATACAACTTCACGACTCATATAACTAAAAACAACATTACATCATATACTTGGTGTGGTTCTAAAAAGCAAAAGGGAGATATATATAGAGAATATAACTAAAACAATGAGTTCACAAGTACCTAATTCATATATTCCAAGAGAGGCAGACATGTACAACTGACCAATGTTTATAACTTAGTCTCTGGGGAATGCCAAGTTAACAATCTTACAGCAGCATCATCATCACCCTGTTCCGCCATTAAAACATCACACAGATATCTCATCCTATTCCTCTCTTCCGTTCTTTCACGTGCAATCTTTTCAGTATCATAGATGTACTTCAGACCAGCAACTCTTGGTCTCTCATCTATGTTTTTCTTCTATGTGCCCATTTCTTCATTACCTCCATTTCCTATTTTAGTGCCTCCTTCATGATTCTTTGTCCCTATTTTTCAGGATGTGCCCAATATATCGGCATCTTCTTTGTCTAAAACTGTTTATATCAATGGTTGTTTACCCTTTCTTTAGTGCAAAAAATGTAATGTTTTACAGCAGCGTTTGTTATAAATTTATTTATTTCACTTCTAAGGAACACATATCAAGCATTCTCGCCTCAGAAAATGCATACATTTAATGATGAACTAATGAAACAGGAAAAAAAAATACACTACAGACTGATCATTTATTCAGATTTACTTGTCATGATCATATGTCACTCCATATGGTGGTGTTGAAGTGTCTTCTTGCAAATGTTCAAAAATCTGGCATTCCTTAATAAACATGCACAATCTAACTCATTCTTACTTTTGCTTAATCATTTTTGTTTTAAATACAGCACAATCATAACACAATCACAAACACTAAATAGTTTTTTTTTCCACTATGATAACTGTTATAAATTCACAGAACAAGGACTGAGACAATGAAACTATATTTCATTAAAACTGTAATTAAGATTTATTCTGGCTACTTCCTTTTCTTGGAGATGCCAGCACTTGTGGCAGTTACTGGTGGTGCATATATGGTCTGGGAAATGCGATTGATGTAGTAAAGAGCCACAAGAGAAAATATCAGGCTGAAATAAAAGGCAACATCTTATTAGCGACGTGGATCAATCACTGTATGTAAATGCTTTCATACCGATGAACCAGCAATAAGGTGTAAACAAAATCTTTTATATCAGCGGGCTTCAGATGAAAGCGGCGTCTGTGGCTTAGTCGTTGCGAGTCCGACTCGTAATCCAACGTACCGCGATCGAAACCCACTGTTGGCTGCATGGATTTTTATCATGGTTTGGGGCATCAAAGGTGGACCCAGCCTAAAATGGGTACCAGGATGGCTTTCCTGGGAAAGTAAAGACGGCCGGCGTAATGCTGACCACATTACCCATCCAGCGCTGATTGGTCTGTAAAAATATAGGACGCCCCTCCCATATACCTGATGCACCTAAGGCGTGAAAAGGGATCTTTGCTTTTTTTGTGTGTGCTTCAGATTAACACCTTAAAAGGAAAATAGACATTGTAAAAACCATGGCACAGTCTTGTAACCTGTCAATATTGTTGTTAAGAAGTGGACTGTTGTTGATGATGTCAAGAGGGTTAAGCATGACACATCATGGTGCAGACAAAAATGTATGATGTCATAATGACAGGTTAAAAAAGGTCACCTACTTTGGATATGCACCAGAGAGTAGAAGCATCCTGATATCCGTTTTGGGATGAAACCTTTAGAAATTCACCAGGGAACCATGTTCATCTGCACTGTAATGTCATGTGCTTAACACTCTTCACATCCTTAACAACAATATGGACAAGTGACCAGACAATGTCAAGGTTACTGTAGTTTCTATCACACAGTCTAAGGAGAACGGCCACTGCGAGGAGTTACCAGGGGATCTGGCCGACGCTCAGCACTCAGAGGAAGGACAAGACGGATATACAATCAGACGGTTACTGGTACCACCGGAATTGGAACTCTTCACTGGCTGCTGAAGATGGGGACTGAGCGCTTATGGGAGTTTCCTGAGTGCTGTGACGTCGATTCTTAATTCAACATTCGTATCACATTTTAAGGGTTTTCATTTGAAGACATATAATTAAAAATAGTGTGTATATATACCCTTAGTGGCATCCCTGGCCAAAGGTGGGATAGCATGAGGAAGAGGAGGAAGAAGAAACACTGTCTAAAGTGAGACAGACTGCAGCTGAATTTATAGACGCAACTGTGGTTGAACTTCTTCTTTTCAGCATTCCGAGCCCTAATCTGGTAGCTGGTGATTAACTTGGCCTTCATGTAATTTCTACCTACCTATAGTCACATAACACTGTGTGTCAATTAGGGAACTAAGTCACTGTTGACTGCTTGATCAGATCTTTCAACCTCTTCTTCTTTTTTCCTTCGCCTGAAATAGATTTTGTCTCTAGTTTGAACTTCACTGTCTTTTGTAATTCACTCAGCGACCTAAAAAGTTTGACTTGCACCGATGTTTCTCTTGGCCAAAAGTTCTGCCTTAATATGTTGTATTTGTATTTAACTTCTAGCGCCTATATGTGTTGGACTTAATCTTCTTTTTGTATTTGAAGCCCAACCAGGCAGCCAAATTTTCCATTCAGGCTTTCTCCTCTCCCCTTACACTGAGCCCTGCAACACCATTTCGTAGAGGCAGCAGACCTTATTACATATCCACTGCCTGTTGTGTCTTCTTACCCTCACTGCCTGTTGTGTCTTCTTACACTTGTTAAAAGTAATACCTAGGCACTTAATAGACAGGTATAACTGAAGCAGTCCTTAACAGAAAACATCACTGGCAAACTGGTGATTTTTTGTAATCCAGGTACATTTCAGTTCTAATGTGTGACATTTCAGTGGTAATAGATTCCACAATCCCTTGGAGAGGGGTGGGGGAAGAGGGGATAGACCCACTGCCCTCCTAACAAGAAAGTCCCAAGAGCTGACTAATTAGTGGTATTTTTCCCCCTCAAAGTCAGAAACATCTGCCTGAGACGTAAGAAACCAACAGTCTACATATTACAAATAAACCTCATCTGTAAAACGGATGTGCATGCAAAACTCAAGTTCTAGAACAAGACCACAGTCTAGAAGGTTGACTGTTAAATTAAGAATTGACATTACAGCACTCATGACACTCCCATAAATGTTCAGTCCCTATCTTCAGCAGCAAGCGAAGAGTTCCAACCACAGTCCAGAAGTGGGTGAACAACAAGAACTTTCTGCCAGGGTTATACAGCTGGTGAATGCTAAGAAGAAGAAAAAGAACTGTAAAAACTATTTCAGTTGTGATGTAGACTCTTTCAGCCACATAATTATCATGACTGTCCATTCCCATGTGTGTGTATGTGAATGACGTCTACTATAAGGCTAAATTACAGTTTATCTTTGCTGCAACAGATTCACGAAAATTGTGATTGATTTTGAGAGCAGTATATTAATAAAACCATCATGCACACAGAGAGGGACTTACCAAGTGGTTACACACACTCTGTGTACTAATGCAGATGCAAAAAGTGCAGTAAACAAACACAGAATTACTGTGGAAAAACACAAAATGTAATGGTTTAAAAAAAAATAAAAAATAAACAGGTTTTACCAATAAATTCAACCAACTTCTATATTTTTTTTTCACCCTATTAGAGATTATTTTAAAATGACTGAATTACCCAAGAGATTTATTGAGGCATGTAATTAGCAACCAACAGTCACCGAATAAAAAGGGGAATGTGGTCTCAATGTATGGCATCCGTCTCAAGTGCTGGAGGTCCAGGTTCAAACACCGGTCAAAGCTGGGATTTTTTCAAGTTGACTCCTAGTTATTTTTCCTGGTCTGGGAAGTAAGACTGGATGCCCGTGTGCACTGTTGTGCACATTAAGAAAAAATCCCTTGGCAGTAGGAAATCAAAACAAAATTTTGAGTTTAAAATCTACCCAAAAAGTATTTCAGGATCCTCGCCGCTGCAGAACGGAGTTCGTGCACTGCGCTGAAATTCTTCAGGCTCAGGCTTGACTTAGAAGTAGTTTACACCCATGTGCCATGATATTGATCTGTTGACTAAACTTAAACTAATACAGTCACTAAAAAAAATTATCAGCCTTTCTTTTGGAATTCAAACCATATAGGTTGTGAGCTTGAAGCGGACACTTTATTATCTCAGCAACACCTTTCACTACAATCATCATGCACTCCAGACATGTACATCATCAAGTACCATGCCTATAACTATCACAAATCATGGATCAGACTTGTATTCTTTCTTTTAGCCTATGTGGTCCAAGTCACCATGGTAATTATCTCTCAGTCCTAGTCTTTTCTCATTACGTTTGTCAGTTATCACCAAGTCTTCAAGTTACTCTCCCGTCATAACATGTTCAGCAAAAATCTTCACTAAGGTTAAAGTATCTAATCAGCTCAGCGTTCATTTGTTTCCTGAATAACTGTCCCATTCAAAAAACGGTAGAAGAACATCTATACATGCTTTAATCGCTGCAATATTTCTACCAGCAGGACAGTGACTAACTATGCAAGATCAATATTAAAGAATACAGCCAGTCTATGATAAATAATGGTAAAACTTCTTCAAATATAAGATGTCAGGTTCAGACTTCACATAATACAGAGCTCAAAACACACAAAAACTCAACCTTCTGGAAAGAGTTGTGTCTGGAATCCTTTTCCAAATGCTAATGTTTCAATGTTGCTGGTAAACTTTGGCATGGTTAAGGTTCAAGTGAATTAGTTTCCTTCAATAATCTATTTTATTCATTCTTAAATGTTAGTTAGGTAAAAGACTTGTTTCATGCCTTCAGTGCATTAGGCATGTAGTGCTAGACCTAAATTTTTATAAACTAATCATTGTTAATTTTTGAGATCGTCTTCATCGCACACCGGACATAACCATAAGTGCTCCGATCTCCTCCTGAGTATGTCACCAAGTGTTTTTAAGGCTAACAACTCCCATTCTGTTCTGACTGATGTGATAACGGGTAGCTCCCGCATGGTTTTCCTGTCTCGCCGCTCCATTTGGTATACTCAGGGTATGCAGCCTATTCAGTGAAAAATCATTTTCAACAAAACTGAAAGCCTCACAGCGTTTAATCTCTCAATGAATGATGTCAACATCACACTAGCCACCTTTCCTTACCTAGTACCCATGTTGAGCTGGGCTGACTTGGCAGCCAAATTTTGAAAACCAATCCCACTAGGTGCGGATTTGAAACCGAGACCTTCAAGTCAGCAGTTTATAGTCTATAGTTTAATTAATTTGTAACATGTTTTACTGAATAAATTATCATTTTGCAGATAAATAAATGGGCTATTAGAAAATATTTATCCTCAAAATTATAATTCATTCAATAAAACATTTTGCAAATTAATTAAACTATAGTTCAATTTGTGTATACATCTACATGATACAATTGTTACTACCAACCAGCCACGCCAGCCTCACAAAAACAGGAATTTCTGTTTCAGCTGTATGGCCTTATATCTCGAGCTGGCTGTGTTGTTCAAAACCTCCCTGCTGGATGTCCTGTAAGATATATTAATGCAATAACAGACAGAGGATCAACTTTAACTCTCACTGTCGGGAAGCTTGTCAATACAAACTTTATATTCACTGGGAATGGAAGGGATTCTCAACAAGTTTTAATGGATTGTAAATATTGAGCACCTAAATGCTGCATACCCTTGCATGGAGAGTTCACAAATATGTTCAGAATTAATGTATTTATTGCCAGGAAATCGCAATGAGTGCCCAAAAACAATTAGTTCCAATCCTGACATATGGAAATGAAAATAGTGAAAAATTATGTGGATGTAGCAGAGGTGTGGTTTTAGAGATGAATGATAAGAACATGCTGGACAGAAAATAGGAGTAATGAAGATGTCTTGAAAGATGTTAACTTTCAAACAGAACTGATTGCTTGCATCAGAATGAGACGATCTACATTCTGTGATCATGTCAAGAAAAAGAGAAAACTGGAATACATAGTACTGGTTAGAGTGTTAGCAAGGAAAAGGGCAGAGGGGTACCAAGAGAGAGGATGCTGACCAATTTAACAGCATGTTATGGAAGATAGTTTGTGACAGAAATGATTGAAAATAGAATAGGCAGAAGGCTGGGGATTAACATGAATAACAAGGTCATATGGCATGGACTAAAAGAAGATCAAAGTCAATACATTATTACACAAGTGAACATACGACTGAAAATTAAAATATCCTTCACTAACCAACCATTTCCTATGGCAACAGATGCATTATAAATGTTCAAAATAAACAGTAAAAATATTCAGCAAAACATCTTACCATTTCATACCAAGTTTGCAATGATGTTACCATTAATAGTAAAATAAAAGAAAGCAAACAAAAACTTACTACAGAAAACTACTACTAAGAATTTTACAATTAACTTCTTTTTTACCTCCAGAAGTGTTGGAAGATGTAATGTGTGTTCTTTTTGTAATGTGTAATTTAAGTTTACCTTCATTTAGGGTTGTTATTGATTCTGTCATTCCATCTTATGTGTGTGTCTCCCCCTTGCTTCAGTGAGCTTCTCTGTGGCAACAGGCACCAGGGCATTCTCAACAGATGGCCAAATCATCTAATCTGTTACTCTTTGATAAACTGTAAAACTATCACTCTAGTCCTTTTTTCCTAATTTCTATATTTTCATCTCTTCTTCTGACTCTGGCAGCTCTTCTAAGACACCTTCCTTCTGTTATAAGTGTGTCCTCATTAGTTAAGTAAGTGTCCATTCTATAATTAATACTGTCAGTAAAACTAAGAAAAGGATACGGTGAGCAAAGTTATAAAAAACAAAGAGCCAATAAAACCGCCAGCCACTGTTAAGTACTCTTTGGAAGCAATGTCTGACTTGAATATTTGCAAAAGAGCAAATATGGTGATGCTTAGCAGTAAAGACACTACAGCAGAAGGGGCAGTTGACAAAGCTGAGGGACAAAAAACAAAGAATGAAATAGTTTAGTATCCTACAAACAATTTGTTTTGTTTCTTTTTATCCACAAGCTAGTTTCAAAGTTTTGCTATCATGCTTTGCCGGTGGTGTTTGTATCCTGTTTAATCTTTTTTTTAAAATTAAACTGTGTACCGTCTACACAATGAATAGGAGCAGCTATGGTGTAGTGGCTAGATGCTTGCCTGAGGATCCGCAGGTCATGGATTCAAATCCTAACTGTACCCTTTGTACCTGTCTTGGTGGTCCCAAGACATTTTTTTCTTAAATAATCCACCCATTATGGAAACAACTCTTGTACAGTTGATGATTATGAAATTGTGGTTTCATTTGTATTTTATTTTTAATGATTTAGTCGAGTCAGGGCTGCTACTTTTTTTTATACTGGTTTGCTAAACTGGATCTTTGGGAGCAAAAACAATGCTTAGAAGTTTGCTCTATGTGTTATAACAAATTGTATACTGTATTGGCTTACAAAGGGACAAACCTTTAGTTATTTAATAATTATTAATTTTTATCATATGCTGTTTAAAGTTAAATCTTGCAGTTCAGTATGTGAATAATAAATATATCAATTGCAATAAATGTTTTAATAACTATAATTAATGCCCATCATACATGTTTTGTTTGGTAAAATGCACTACTAAACTAAATTCACTTTAACAAAACAAAAAAAAAAAAAAAGAGCAATTGTTAAGACTAAGATAAGGAGTAAACTAAACTAAGCATTCTGACTGACTGACTGTCAGTGTAGTACAGTAATGCGGATGTTGAGACCACTGGGCAGCCATTAAATCTTCCTCCCCCGGCATGCTTATTTGAACGTATTGTGACTGTGAAAAAAGGGGAGCATCAACCCATTTAAATGTCAAGTGTACTAAATAAACTATATTTATATATATATATATATATATATATATATATATATATATATATATATATATATATAATATATATAGTATCATATAAAAGAAGTTCATTTCAGATTTTTTTTCATGGATGCAATAAGGTCGTGTGCAGATGCCGGAAGTGGCAACCTGCTACTCTATAATTAGGTCCATATTGGGCTATCCTCCGAATAACAGTCCCAAACTAACGAGGCCAAAAATATACCCTAACAGGGCCTCAGTCACATGTAAATTGCGAATCTATTTCCGGCGACTATACCGCCATCGCAGAGAGTATCTCCCGCACCGCCGCAGCAGAATGGGGCTAAACTAGATGGCTGGGACTCACGAGCAAATTAAAATTAAGGAAGCTGCAGGAGATGCGGTAGCTGCTTCTCCTGAGTCTTAGCCATCTAGTTTAGCCCCGCTCAGACTCAGCGCCGTGGGAGATACTCTCAGTGGAGACTTTAACTCGGAGGAAGCTTTTCCGTGGTATGCTAGTCTGTAGTCACCGGAAAGAGGTCCACAATTTACATGTGACTGAGGCCCTGTTAAGGTATATTTTCGGCCTTGATAATTTGGGACCGTTATTCAGTTGATAATGGCCCAGTTAATTTATACTTGCCTAGCCGGCTAAGGGATTCGTGAAATGAAGACACAAGTTAGTTATTTTTTTGCAATCCAACATGTTGAATGCAAACTAAATTTTAGTCATTTCAACCCTTCATTTTACTGAGACGAAGCTCAGGGCCCATTTTTTTTTTAGTGTTTACACTACAATGATGTGACAGTTTCATAAGTAAAAATTAATACATAAATTTCACTAGCCCTAGTGCTACTAATCAAGTGCCACGACCATACGTTCATACGATACGATCCGATGCGGATAATTTGGGACCACCAACTAAATTGCATTCCTCAATAAAATAATTACAAGCCGGCTTAGATATCTTTGTCACTACTGAAAGTCCGTTGTGTTAATAAACTAATGATACACTGTCAAACCATTACTAAAACAATCACAGTCAACGTAAAATAAAGCTAAGACTTGCCCATCTTGCAGTCGTTCTCTCAATCAGCACTGAGTAGGCAAACAGCCTACGTGTTGCTTCCGGTCGGGAGGAGTTATTAAATATATCCAATGCTCTTATGAAGTGTTATTTAAGGGAAATTTATTTCAAATTGTATTATACATGCTAACAATTATGAATTTTAAAAATATTAGATTGTGTATTAGAGTGTGTATAATGACTTAAAAATTAAATAACTAATTTAGATAATCCCTCGCAATTCCATGTCTTCTCCATGCAAAAAGTCTGCAATTTTTTTAGTTAGCGGGAGATAAATGTTGAACGTTGAATGTTGAATTAGGAATCGACATAATATCACTTGTCCAGAATTCACTACTGTGTTTATAGCATGCGAGCATTCTTTTTTCTAATCTATAGTGACATTTGAATAATTGCATAAAGTGTTCTTTATTTACAGAATATGCAGTTTTAGCCTGTCCAGTTCTGTACTTTGTCTTTGTGATATTATCCAAGTGTTTAGATACTTACATTTCTTTTTCAGCATTGCAAATCTGAGTTGGATTTCTTGGTATGCTCAGGCAACCGAATCGATAAACATGTCAGAAAAGCATTTACTATGTCACAAGCAGTTTTACCAGTAGTCTCTCAGAATACAGACGTTTGAATTGGCCGTTCCCAATCACTTGGTTTCAACCTGAAATTTTTTTTTTTTTTTAGACCAGTTGTTACGACTGACCTGAGTCCCAGATAAATTTGCATAAAATGAGCTCTGAGAAATTTACTGAGAAGCGATCGGTTGATATGATGCTGATCGCTTTGTTGATCGAGTGTCGGTTGGTCTAAAAATATGGTTCAAGCACCATATGCCAAAAAGCGTAAAAGGGGTAATTCACTTGCAATGATTATTTAACAACAATAACACTCTTTTATGCTGCTTCACGTATTTACCACCGGAATGTTCTGTTGCAGTTTCTTAAGTGCCTCAGTACTTTGTATTATACTAACGCACTGTGTTTACAAACTGGTGATTGCCTGATGCTTTTAATAATGCATGTTACTGCTCTTATCGGGACTACCGACTGCGTCATTGTTGACCTAGGACTGTTTTGAGCAATTTGTATAGTGTTTAATGACACAGACATGGAGCAATTATAGGATGGCCGGTAATATTTTAAAGAAATCTGAGTATCTTGCATATTAACTTCTTCAGAGATGTGCATGGGGTTTCGTAGCGAAAGCCAATGGAAAATCTTTAGTGCAGGACAGCCTGGCATATGATACCACAACATCTAGCATGAGAATGAACGCGATCACTGCAGCTTGCCGGTGGCTAAAGAACAAAATACATACACATATCGTAATTTTAACGGACTCTGAAAACATGATGAATAAGGTGAAGTCAGAATTGTTTCGGGCAGAGTGGCAAGCTTCACTTGCAAGGTCACGGGTAGTGAGCATACTATGTGTCTTTTCTCCAATCTGTGCCGGCGTGATAAGGATTGAACAGACAGACAGATTGGCTGGATCTGCACCGCTGGGTGGTGAATTGATTCGTGACAGGGCAGATATGGTCAGAGCCCTTTGGGAACAAGTAACGAAGTCAGAAGAGAAACTTGATTATTATGGCCTGGAGAGAGTGATGCACTTGGGTGTGACCAAAGGGGTCGGCCGGCACACTACGCTCATAAGAAAGGCAAGACGGACTTACAACCAGACTACTGCCGGCACCATTAGTATTAGAACTCTGTGCTGGCTGCTGAGGATGGAGACGGAGCGCGTATAGGAATGCCCAGAGTGCTGTGATGTCAATTTTTGACTCCACTCAACTCTACTCAACTCAACTCTTCTTTAGCATCGGCGCTTGCTTGGATGGCATAGGGGGAGGTGCGCTTGGCGTCTCTATCGGCGCTCTGTAAGTTATTCCAACATATCTGCATCCTCTGGCGAAAATATTCAAAGGACGCTCACTGCCGGAGACCTCTGAAGCGGTGCTTGCCACCCTGAACGTTACATTTCTTTCGCTAGCTTTCTCGGCATGCTTTTTGAGTGCTACAATTACATCAGGAGTCGCCTTGGCGTAGCGGCTAGACGCTCGCCTGTGGATCAGAAGATCGTAGGTTCGCTACCTGACGGAGCCATAATTTTGTTTTAAAATGACCTTGACTGCCAGGTAAACCCAGCCTTGAGTCGGTAACAGGTGCAGTCCTGGAAAGTAAAGGCACCCGGTGTGTTGCTGATCACATCACCCATCTTGTGCCAATTGGTCGGTAAAAATAAAGGTCTAGACCCATATGCCATATACCCCTAAAGGTGTGGGAAAGTGTCTTTGACTTTACCTACACTCACATCATGTTTGTGTAGCTGGTTCGCAGGCCAGGGAAAGGCTGTTGTGACTGTCACACCTCCTTTTACTTAGATGATGTGGTGTCGTATAGGTATGCTGTGGTTCCATAAACATATGGGAGAACACATGTACGAGACAATAACTGACTGACAGTATACGTGACATAAGGCTGTGGACCAATATGCTGACAAACACCTTCGGTGTAGACTGTAAAAATATCCAGTAATGGTAAACAACGCATAACACTACATATCAGCTGTTCGTACCTCTTTTTGTTTTTCATTTTTAATTATGTGGTTTTATTGCCTCCAGGTATATACCCATACCATCAGCTGGATCTACGCACCTGGGAATGCCAGGGTAAAATGTAATGAACGAAGATACAAACTGCAAGCAAAGCACCAATCTACACGAGGAGAAGCATGGGCACAGCTGATATCTCCTTTGCTGTACGAGCTAAGCTTATGGATAATGTCGAATTTTTGACACTAACACGATTGCTTGACATGTGAATGAAGCATGGTGAAGCACGTCTATAACGCTTTCAAAGCCGAGATAGTAGACATTTAGACATTATGACCAGCTCCTCATGGGAAAATCAGTAGAGGCTCATTGGGAGTGGCTGCTGCATCAGAGGACTGAGCAAGCGTGGGAACACCTAATGTGTAGTTACGTAACACACAATAAGAAGATCGCCTTTTAGTAGTATTGTGACTATATGATTATTGTGAAGGGCAAGAGAAACAGATAACACCAGCTTTACAAAAATTAAATACCGTCGTATGAACACGTCAGACGTACAGAATAGACGAATGTGTTTAGGAACCGAAAAACCTGACATAGGATGACAATGCCACTGTAAATATTATTATGTACCAACACTTAGATCTGTTGACCACCTACCTCGTTGCAAGGAATTGGGAGGCTAGACCACTGACTTTAAGAACCGCTGCTCAAAATACACCGCCGCCATATTTAATTAGTTTAACGGGTGCCTTTTCAAACATATAAAATGTTGTTTTGCTGTTTACATCGAGAAAATATTCCTTTTTATGTACTTTATATTTTGCGAAACGTCTTTGATGTTTTCTGTATAACGAAATTAATATTGACCGAAGAAACTGCAGTGGCATCAACATGTAATTACAGAACATCAACAAATAAAAGTAAACCCCGATTCTCCTTTGCAAAGAACAGAGTTCCCAGCTGCACAGTAAAACAGGAATTAATAAGGAAATTGAACGCGAAGGCAGAGATGACCAGATCTCTAGGCAATTCGATTAGATGTACGCGAAAGTTGAGAAATAACGTATGAATAAATGAGAATTGTCATCGTTGCACTCGGGACGTTTCCATTCGTGCTTGGTCACTTTTCTTCTTCATAAACCCTGTGCAGGTGATGCTGTGTTGTTGTTTGTCCATCAAGAGTTTTGAAGACCACTTTTCATCCAAAGTAGTAATGATCAATGATTATGAGTACGAAGGTGGCTGATTAGTCCAATGTGAGTCTGAACATTTCTTGAGCAGTGCGGAAGACAACAGGTGGAAGCTGCAGTAAGTATGGGTTTAGCAATACGGTTCTTTCCAGTCTGCCTCCGTTTCTCTGCCTGTGAAACCTCCGCTGCCTGACAGGTTTTACATTTAATGTGCGTGCGTGTGTGTGTATGCGCGCGTGCGTGCGTGCGTGCGCGCGCGCGCGCGTAAAACCGGCTTACCTTAAATTTTATCAGAGTTGAAATTCTTCGTCCATTACATCATAGGTGTACCATTTTTTTTCCCCCGCTTAGTTTGTTACAAAGCTGCTGTTGTGGCTTCTAGTGGGTGCATTTAATATTATGGAACAATAACCTTGATCTGTTTATCTTTATTGTTCAAGTCTTTAAAGAAGAGCAGTTTTAAATAGGGGCGGGGGGGGGTAGGGGTAGGTGTTATAATAAGGTTAAGCAGCAGCTTCGTGCAGAGTGGCATGCTTCGCTGCGGAGGGCACGGGTGAGGAGTATAGTGTGGATTTTTTCACCGGGGCTCGCCGGTGTGTTGGTAAATGAACAGGTGGATAGACTGGCTGGCTCTGCACAACTTGGTGGTATTTTGATACATGATAAGGCAGACGTGGTTATTGCCTTGTGGGAGAGCGTGTACAGTTCGGAGGAGCAGATGGATCACCATTCTGGTGAGATTGATGCAGCGGGGAGTGATGAGAGGTTCTGGCAGATGCTCGAGGCTCAAAGGAAAGGCAAGACGGACCTTTAATCAGAATGCTTCTCGCACCATTAGTATCGGAACTCTTCGCTGGCTGCTGAAGATGGGGACGAAGCGCTTATTTTAAAGCCCCAAGTGCTGTGATGTCGGTTCTTGAATCAAATCAAATCATAAGGTTAGGCAGAGATAAATATCTTTCTTCAGCTGCAGATGAAGAAGGTAATGCCAAAATGGAAAGCGATTCTCATCTCCCCATTTTCTTCTGAAATTGTAAATCGACATTTTTTTTTTTATTTTTTAATAATTAGTTGGCTCATTTTCCACTCTTGGTTCCTTCTATTCTTTATTTATTTGTTAATATTATTCTTCTTAAACAGGGCTGGGAAATAACGTGACCAGCGGCGTAACTAATAACACTTACTGGATGTAGCATAACTGAAAACACTTACTGGATCTAGCGTTTCATTTTCGTGCCAGAATAT